CCAATTGGTAGATAGGCTGTATTTACACCATAACCTTTTCTTATCAAGCTCCACATTTGTGGAATCAGCTTCTAGTTTGTGTTCGGGCGGCAGACACCCTATCCGTTTTTAAGAGTGTGCTTAAGACCTTCCTTTTTGATAAAGCTTATACACTGAACAAAAATATAAATGCAACACTTTTTTTTTTGCTCCCATTTTTCATGAGATGAACTCAAACATTTTCTATATACACAAAATAACCATTTCTCTCAAATATTGTTCACAAATCTGAAAAAATCTGTGATAGTGAGCACTTATCCTTTGCCGAGATAATCCATCCCACCTCACAGGTGTGGCATATCAAGATGCTGATTAGACAGCATGATTATTGTACAGGTGTGCCTTAGGCTGGCCACAATAAAAGGCCACTCTAAAATGTTCAGTTTTATCACACAGCACAATGCCACAGATGTCGCAAGTTTTGAGGGAGTGTGCAATTGGCATGCTGACAGCAGGAATGTCCACCAGAGCTGTTGCCCGTGAATTGAATGTTCATTTCTCTACCATAAGCCGTCTCCAAAGGCGTTTCAGAGAATTTGGCAGTACATCCAACCGGCCTCACAACCGCAGACCACGTGTAACCACACCAGCCCAGGACCTCCACATCCAGCATGTTCACCTCCAAGATCGTCTGAGACCAGCCACTCGGACAGCTGCTGCAACAATCGGTTTGCATAACCAAATAATTTTTGCACAAACTGTCAGAAACCGTCTCAGGGAAGCTCATCTGCATGCTCGTCGTCCTCATCGGGGTCTCGACCTGACTCCGGTTCATCGTCGTAACCGACTTGAGTGGGCAAATGCTCACATTCGATGGCGTCTGGCACGTTGGAGAGGTGTTCTCTTCACGGATGAATCCCGGTTTTCACTGTTCAGGGCAGATAGCAGACAGCGTGTGTGGCGTTGTGTGGGTGAGCGGTTTTCTGATGTCAATGTTGTGAATCGAGTGGCCCATGGTGGTGGTGGGGTTATGGTATGGGCAGGCGTATGTTATGGACGACGAACACAGGTGCATTTTATTGATGGCATTGTGAATGCACAGAGATACCGTGACGAGATCCTGAGGCCCATTGTTGTGCCATTCATCCACTACCATCACCTCATGTTGCAGCATGATAATGCACGGTCCCATGTTGCAAGGATCTGTACACAATTCCTGGAGGCTGAAAACATCCCAGTTCTTGCATGGCCAGCATACTCACCGGACATGTCACCCATTGAGCATGTGTTGGATGCTCTGGATCGGCATATACGACAGCGTGTTCCAGTTCCTGCCAATATCCAGGAACTTCGCACAGCCATTGAAGAGGAGTGGACCAACATTCCACAGGCCACAATCAACAACCTGATCAACTCTATGCGAAGGAGATGTGTTGCACTGCGTGAGGCAAATGGTGGTCACACCAGATACTGACTGGTTTTCGGACCCCCCTAATAAAGCAAAACTGCACGTTTCAGGGTGGCCTTTTATTGTGGCCAGCCTAAGGCACACCTGTGCAATAATCATGCTGTCTAATCAGCATATTGATATGCCACACCTGTGAGGTGGGATGGATTATCTCGGCAAAGGATAAGTGCTCACTATCACAGATTTTTTCAGATTTGTGAACAATATTTGAGAGAAATGGTTATTTTGTGTATATAGAAAATGTTTTAGATCTTTGAGTTCATCTCATGAAAAGTGGGAGCAAAAACAAAAGTGTTACATTTATATTTTTGTTCAGTGTAGTTAGGGCTGATTAGATTCAGCCCCTAGTTTTGCTGATATAGGCTTAGTTTGTCGGGGGACATCTTACTTCTTCCTTCTCTCTGTCTATACCTGTGTACTCTCATGTTCCGATTAACCCAGCTTCCCCAAATTTCTTTCTTTTTGGTGTCTATATACGCCGGGATTCGGAGTCATGGATGATCCTGTTGCTGCGGTCCTTTGTCCTGGATCGCGAGCCCTGGATCTTGAGTCGTGGCTGTGGTCCTGGATCATAAGTCCTGGATGGATATCCTCGTGGATTCATCTTCCTATTATACACACATGCATTTCCAAACATTTGGACTACCTATGTTGCAAATGTATTTATCTTTTCAATTTACACACAGCATCTATTGCACGTATGTCCGTCCTGGGAGAAGGATCCCTCCTCTGTTGCTCTCCCTGAGGTTTCTCCCATTTTTCCCTTTAAACTGTGGGTTTTCTCTGGAAGTTTTTCCTTGTACGATGTGAGGGTCTAAGGACAGAGGGTGTCGTATTGTCATACTGATATTCTGTACAAACTGTGAAGACCACTGAGACAAATGTAACATTTGTGATATTGGGCTATATAAATAAACATTGATTGATTGATAACGGTGCACAGCTTATAGAAAAGGACTTGTAGTTTTTAAAGATATTACTGATTTTCTTTGAATGTAAGAATGTAAATACTGAGTTGAGAGAATAGTCAGTGGTTTTGGGTGATGGGAGACACACCTATGGAATCAGAATTTCAATGGCTTACCGTTAAATGACGGATATACCTTTCTGTCCATGATGTTTTACAAATCAGATATTGTGTAGAACTACAATATGTGAAATAATATAGCAATATCCTGTAAAATGTGAAAACATGAATAAAACTACACATCTTCAGATGTTATACATACATAAATGTCCTACACTAATAATACAAAATTATTATTGCATTGTATGCTGTGTGTTATTTGTAAGATCTTCAGAAACTACCTTTCCAACTCCTCACCAGTTAACTGTTACAGGTCTATACAGGTTCATGGTACAATGCATAAGCTTCAAATCGAGAGACTGAAACTGTATTTTTCTTTACCGTTCAGTTTTAATTGCACAATAAAGTTAATAGTAATATTATGTTTGATATTACTATGTTTTATTAACTAGACCACTGGGTCATGTTAAGACCATATTTTTTGTCGGTTTGGTGTTACAAATATCAAAACAATATATATGTGGATAACAAAATAAATCCGTCAAAAACTAAACTGGAAAATTATACTGGAAAGTATAATTTATTGTGTTAACACTGCAAACTTGACAGTTTTTAACCTGCACCGCCTAGTGGTTAAAGCACATTATTGAGTTTTGTTGTTGAATATGTTATATTTGATGAAAACATTTAAATATTAAGAGTAGCCTACATACAAAATAGGGGGAAAGTAGAAGGTCAATGATAGAAATATAGAATAGAAAATATCAAGAAGATATAGTGATCTCTATAATAAAACAGCTAGTGGAGGACGTCCAAAGATATTAATAGGAGGATGTGCAAAACAGACAAACTAATAAGGCTTTATTTAAACATTAAAGAATACTTTAAGTTAAGGTCTTCTTTTGAATAAGAAAAAAAAAGAAGTTGGGGGTATCAACAGATAAATATTAAGTCTGACAAAGTACTTGCCGTCTAATATATTGCATAGTTTATTTTGGCACTTGACAATCACCTTCCCTGAATTTTACTCAGGTGTAACTAAAGTCTGATTTAAGGGTTGCTTATATTTCACATCATTAATCAGAATCGGCAAAGTAACTCAAATAAATTTAGTGGAGGAAAAATACCAGGTTAGAACAAAGTATAATAAATTGCATGTTGTACTGCTGCTGTAACAAAAACATTTCCCAACTTGGGATCAATAAAGCATATCTTATCTTAAGATGATCGATGGCTACTGCCAAATTTGCAAAATGTGCCTCTGAATCTTGACAAGTGCATGTTTCAGGCTTATCAATTAACAACAGGAGGGGTCACAGACATAAGACCAGCTGTTAAATAAAGCTCTTCTGACCTTAGCTGGCATGTGGGTATATATTAATGCTGCTCATTATGGACACAAGCAATTCTCACCCATTAATTAATTAAATGTTTTAAATTTGACAACACCAATGTGTTTCCCATCCCCTAAACCTCCAAAAATGTACACAGTTTAATCCTGGCAACTTCTAATGATGGGAAATACGAAAACGTCTTTTAAAACTACAATTCCCAGTAGAGACGTGCCATAGAACATGTTGGGAACATGGTTGCGCAACACAATTAGCCAGCATGTGTAGTTCTGGGGGGTGGACCCGTTCAAATCCAGTTTTGGATAGTCTGCCGTGGTTTCCTTCCATTTCATAGAGCTGTCTGACGCTCGGCGTAATCTTGGCGCACTGCCACTCCAACATCCAATCACAGAGCTTGAGGACTAATCACGGGGTTTGTCAAGCAAACCGGATGTTGTAGTCCCAAACGATATCTGAGGATTGTGGGTAGTGTAGTGTCTTCGGCCATCCTAAACTCAGAAAAAACTATTTGTTTCTCCGAATCAAAGGGGAAAAACACAAAAGCATTGTACACAATTAAACCAATCAATGTTGTGTAATTAACAAGAATAAACTGATGTTTTTTCAACCCGCGAGGGTTGACGCCAACTTTACATGGACGCTGCCGTCAATAGAAATGAATAGGGGGAAGTACGTAGTATATACACGTTCTCCTGGCGAGACCTCAAATCATCTTCGTAATATCTATCAAATTATAGATCCTACACATCCACTGGACGTGGATTCTAAAAGTATAATATACACTTCTCGCTAGAAATGTAATCAAAATCATTTTAATAGCCAAACTATTCTACAATTTAGGATTTTCCAGAGAGGGTTATTTGTGAATATACGACCCTCCGGAGCATTTGAAATCAACGGGAGCATCAGCCCATATGCCGCAAATTGTTGTTTCTTACACGACCACTAGAGGTGCTAAACTTTAAAACGTGACTATAGGTCGTAATAAGCTGCTGGACAATCGACCTATTTGGTCGTTTTTTGGAGGAGGACAGGCTGTTTAGAAAGTGCTGAGTTGAAAGTGAGACACACTACAGGGGACATAATAGATGAACACCAGCGCCCCCAGTGGCTCATCCATGAAGCTGTGAAAAACCCACAAACACCTAATTGTTTAAATCATCAGAGAATTAAATGGAAGAAATGTATCTCTTTATTTTACACATGTTGTCATTTAAACCAGTAAATAGGCTTTTACAAAAGGTTAAAATGTCCCTGCGTTTTAGTCATTTCTATTATGTTTTCTCTCCAGGTATATATTGTTAACTTTGGGTTTAATATTAGACAAAAGTGTCACATATTAATGGGGAATAATTCTATAAAACAGAAAACAAAAACTGATAGCAAATATTTATTTTTTACAAATTATGAGATGATACATATCAAAACTATTATTGTTTCCTATCCCTGCATTGTGAATATATAGTAAATTCAAACCCCATATAAGTTTTTCACAAAGTGTGGTCCCAGTGTGTGCAATAGACTCATTTTAATTGAATTATAAATGATAGGAACTCAAATTCTCAGTGAGACTAAATTAAAGTAAAGAGCTAGTATTGGAAACCAACCCGTCAGATTTATAAATGGACTCAATGTTCCTCCAGTGTCTCCATCAACAAAATGATTCTTGGAGGTTCATACAATGCTACTTATGCTCATTTGCAAATGTATGAGGTTCACCCATATACTGTTTATTTAAGGATTCAATTAGCTCTTCAATTTATGTGCAGCTGAATTAGACTGGAGTGATGTTAATGAGCAGAGAGCGCCCTCTGCTGGGCATCACAGCATCTTAAAACTGTGGCTCTTGAGAGGATGAACACAATATCATATACACCTTAATGCAATCAAGTATAATGATAATAAACAAATACAACAACACCGAGTTACAAATAAAGTTAAAGAAATGAAAGGTGTTTGTATAAAAGGTATACAGCCTATGGTTTAGAGACATTGTAAATGAGAGTAGAAAATGTAGACAACATACATCAGGAGGACTAAAGACTGGCAGATGTCATTTTGTGAAATAAACATAGGACTGTGTTAAAATGCAAATACAATCGGTAAAAGTTGCCCCTGGAATTGAGAGGATGGGGCTTTCAAATGTAAAACAAACAGCTTAATAAAGAGATTTGTCTGATGTGTTTTGCACATGGTATGCAGTTCACACCTGTCACACTTCCAGGTGAGTCAGCATCAGTTAAAAAGGAACCTAGAGTACATGTGATGCAATGGAGCCAATATGTGTACCTGGGACGAGGTTACGAAGGGTTATCCCTCACTTTCAAAAGATTCTAAATATAAAATGTAAATTCTGTTAGAAAGACAAATTGACCTGAAAAGGATCTAAAAATGCATATTTGTTGATTCATGCAACAACAAAAAAGCCCTTGTGCAAACATACAGAAATACATCCGTCCGTTTTGTTTATTTACATGAAACTGTATGAAGACTAAACTGAATTTGCTGAAGTGTGTTTTCAAAGTCTTTAACTGTATTATATTAGGGTTGATGTTCATAAAAGGCATTAAAGCAAATGTTTTGCCATCATTGTGTCTTCTTTTCAAAGGGAAGGAATTACGTCTTTATAAGACGTATTATTTATTCAATGTTTCAATACTTTGGAGCATTAATTCCCTGTTGATTTTTTTTATTAAGACAAGATGAAAATGGAGATAATTAAGAGGGGGAAATTGCATAAAGTTCAGCTAGAATAAAAACAGAATACACAATAAAAGTTGTGGAGAAATGTCTTTTTACAGGTTTGAGGTCAGTTCAATGAGGCGCCTTGTGGCAGACCTCCCTGACGGCCTCCTGCAGCTTCTTTACCGACTCCATCACCACGCGGAAACTTTCATGGAAGCTTCCATTACCTTCCTTCTCCCAAGCCGCCTGCAGCTCTCTGACCCACGTCACGATCCCATCCAGCTGCTTCTGCACCTCCGCCTGCTCGTCCAGCTCCGCCTGCAGCGCCTGCCGGGCACACACCTCCTCCTCGTACGCCCTCTGGAGGTCAGCGAGGGACGAATCCAGCTTCAGCACCTCCTGAGGGAGCAGACCAAAGTCAAACCAAAGACATACATTGCTTCTATTTATCAACAAAATATGTAGACATCATGAGTGGCTGGTAAAAAAACATATTGGATAATGACTGCGCTGTAAAAAAAACACATAATACTCAATAATGATCAAACCCCCCAAAAACTGGAGCAACAAACCTAAATGGCTATAACGGAAAATGTGTCATAAGCCATCCTTTTTATCAGTAGGCCGATCTCAATATTTAACAAAAAACAGTATCTATTACATTTAGTTCATTGATAATTGTTTGTTCAGGTAGCAGAGAACATTATTTGTAAGATACTGATAATGACATACCAATAGATATACACAAATCATTATAATCTAAATAAAACATTGACAAGAAACAACAGCAAAACAGAAACACACAACCACACTAAAATAAGTGATATATTTGACTTAAGTAAAAGTAGAAGTACCAGAGTTTAGGAATACTCTGTAACAAGTAAAAGTCCTACAATCAAAAGCTTACTCTTTAATATAATTAAAGTACTCATTATGCAGTTTTGTCCATTTCAGAATAATATACATCATATGTTTTGATTATAGTTATTGATGCATTAATGTGTTTATCAAAGCTGGTAAAATGTGCAGCTAGTTTTAATTATGTTGTATACTGCAGGGTAGCTTGTGGATTTACTCCAGGTGTGTAACTAAAGTCTTATTTCAATGTTAATTGTGTTGCACATCATTAATTTAAGTCTGCGAAGTAACTACATGTATTAAATAAATGTGGAGTAAAAGTACACGATTTTCTTCTGAATTGTAGTGGGGTAAAAGAACAAAGTAGCAAAACGTAAAAATACTCAAGTAAAGTTCAAGTGTCTCAAAGTACAGTACTTGAGCAAATGTCCTTAGTTACTTTACAACGCTGTTTGTCATACTCTAATTGAATCAACATTGCATGAATTGAGATCATAATAGTGATCTTAATGTAAACACCGCTGCACCCACCTGTATGTGTTGGGGGTAGTTCTTGTGTGAATGGTCCTCGGGCAGCAGCACATTGGGCGGCACGGAGAGGCACCGCATCATCAGCAGCGAGTCCATCCTCTGCGACAGCTGCTTGAACCGGTCCTCCAGGAACTGCTGTAGCCGGCGGCTACACTCTCGGGCCCGGAGCTGCTCGTCGGGCCCGGGAGACACTTTTCCGAGTTGCCTCAGACACACCTTCTCCACGACGGGTAATATGTCGCATAGGCAGTCGTGGAAGGCGCTGTAAACCCGCAACATGCAGGTCTGCGGGGTGAAGCCGAAGAACTGCGCCTCGTACAGTTTAAGAGACAACGGAGGGAGATCTTCCGCCTTTTCGTTCACTTCTCCAACTTCCATCTCCATCTCCGTCCCTTCTTGGGTTTCCCGCGCCATGTTGAATCGATGACGTCTGTGTTTTTCTTCTTCTTACGGGGATTTTTTGGCAGTTGGCAAACAACGAGGTGGTGTTTTACCGCCACCTACTGGTAGGGAGTGTAGCGTTCAGCAGCAGTACTACAGCGTGAGAAAAATATTTTGGATACTGCTAAAAACAGCATACTATTGATAAATAGGATATTGTGCTTGTAAATGATTAAAATACAATTAATTATTCAAGGTTGTTTTAAACTGTATTATTATTATTATTATTATTATTATTTTAAAACACCATATGAAGTGATGAAAAATACTTTTTAAAGGGTGATGACATTCAAACTGTGGAAAGGATAGTCTTTAAAAAAAACAGCATCCATTTATAACTATAAGACGCTCTTGTGAAAACCTTGTATGTCGTTGAAATGGTTGGCATATTCATACTGTTTCTACATGTTTACTCTGTTTTCCTCCCTTTTTATTCTTATTATCCCTGTTTATATTAGTATGTGTTACCATCAGTGTTTCTCTCTTATTCTGTTGCTGCTTAACACCTGAATGTTCTTACGGGGATCAATAAAGGTCCCTCCTATATTAAACTATCTTACTTTTAAACTTCATGTCATTAATCTGCTTAAAAAGCTGAGGGTTAGACTAGGTTTCTTTTTCAGAAACAAGTCCTGTTTCTCGCTTGAGGTCAAGAAAAGGCTAGTCACTGTGACCTTTTTACCTGTGCTGGACTATGGTGATTTGATATATATGAATGCACCTGCCCATTGCCTTGAAAAGTTAGATGCCGCCTATCACAGTGCTCTGAGATTTGTTACTAACTGTAAAGCACTTATCACTTATCACTGTATGCCAAGGCAGGTCTGCCTTCACTAACTGTACGGAGGCTCAGTCATTGGTACATGTTTATCTATAAAGCCATGTTGGGTAAACTACCAACTTATATATGCTCTTTGATCTCACAGAGAGTGGCAAGTAGCTATTGCCTGAGATCCCAGGATGTGTTTTTATTACATGTGCCAAGTGCTAGGACTGTTATAGGTACTAAAGCTTTTATGTGTGCTGCTCCTCTAGCTTGGAACACTATGCAAACAAAATTGAAACTGAGCATTTTGGTTCCCTTGCATAATTTTAAAGCTCGGATAGATGAAATGTTATTAGATATCTGTCATTGTGAATAGGTTGCTAATGTATACTCCTGTAATTATGTTGTATTGATGTCCTTTTTGTTTTCTGTTGTTTTTATGTGTAACCAATGTGCTGCAGGTCTTCCTTGAAAAAGAGATCGTTGGTCTCAATGGGATTTTCACCTGGTTAAATAAAGGCTACAAACAAACAATCTTAAATGTTCGCTTTTCATTAATTTAAAACAATTAATAATCTTCACGTCATGACGTGTGACGTACGTTGCGACCACGCCCACTTGTTCGAACGAAATGTACATGCGTGCGCGCTCCCATTCTCCACAGCTCTCGGTTTTGCTCGCTCTGTGTTGATAGCGGCTTTCTGCTCCCACACGTGTAATCTCTTATATGTGTCGCTCTCTCTTTGGGACCCCTCAATAAGCAGACCCCGCTCCATCAGAAAAGGTAAATTAACAGTCTGCGTGGTGTCTGATTTTGTCTGAACCTGCGCTGCCGCTTGCATGGCGGGGGAGAGAGGTTGGGGCTGGAAGTTTAGCCGGTTAGCATGCTAGTGCTAGCTAGCAGATGCGTCTACTTTTTGTTGTGGTGTTGCTAACATTAGCTAGCTAGCAAGCTAGTTGAAGTATGATAAATGCACTGCTTGTGTCTTTATTATGTAAAGCTGAGATGTGATGTTGTTATGTTGCCTTCTTTTCAGGTGTAAAGCCATAGAAATCGACCACCATGGGGGCTTATCTGTCTCAACCTAACACGACCAAGACCTTTGCCGATGGCGGCAACAGCACCCTGAGCTACGGCTTCTCTGCCATGCAGGGCTGGCGCGTCTCCATGGAGGTGAGGCTGAAAATAATGACCGGATCAAAGACACTCCATGTTGAAAATTAGATTTGAGTTGCCAATGGCGGGATAAATTGATGTGCGGCATCTCCATGTTTGTTGGTATCTTTCCAAAGTTCGTCACACTCCTAAATTAGCTGCAGTGATGGGTGAAATCCTAAGTCATTCTCGGGGTGTTTTTCTTATCACCCCTAACAACATAAAGAAGAATGTTATTCACATCGCTTCACAACGTACTTCACTGAAGCTGACCGCATTTGTTTCTGTTGGTAACTTCCAGTGAGCAAACAAAAAACAGCAGTTCCCCAGAGAATAAAAAAAAAACTAAAATGTCTACCTAGATACATGCCATGTGAACAATTCGTTTAAAAATACATTGAGTTAATAGACTTTAATGTCCAAGATGGGCAAGCTGGTTAACAAGCAGTAGTCATTACAACCATCTTATTTTTGTTGACCTTTTGGATGTTGCCACACAAAATAATCATTGAAAAATTAAGAACCTTGCTAGGGTCTATAAAACCTTTCGTAGAATGATATTTCCCATGTTAAGCTTCTGAATGGCCTAAATACTGCTCTTTTCTTGTAACACCAGCACTGCTCTGGAAAACCAGGTTTACTTTATTAAAGTGTATTAAACAAGACTTGGATATTGCTGATGTTCCTCCCACATTCTCTTTTAGATCCAATTCGTGGGCATGTGCTGGAATATTTGCACACGACACAACCCCTGTCCATATATAGTGTTTAGGGGGTGTTACTTATGCTAATAATACACAACTAGCCACATACCTCTTATTTTTGATCTAGTATGATTCATTAGCACACCTGGGTAAACATGTTTTAGCATGATTTGAAACATTTGGTGTGTTTGGACTTTTTAAGCTTTCTTACCCAATATTAAGAAAAGTTAAAAAAAAGTTGTCCATTGAGTGAAAATAATGTCTTATCCCGTGTGACTTGCCGTCCTGCACATTTTCTTACCCAAAGTGAAATTGTCTTTGCGATCATTTGTTCCAACTGTCATGTTGTATGTAATGTGCATTGTTTCGTGTGTGTTGTAGGACTCTCACAATTGTATTCCAGAGTTTGACGAGGACACAGCCATGTTTTCTGTGTATGATGGACATGGAGGTAAACCCATATACACTGTACAAATACTGTCACGTTCTTATATACTTTCTCAATGTGCATTTAAACAGTATTTTCTGACCAAATATTTACCTTATCCTAATGAACAACACACACTTTCTAAAAATGACTTTCTCCCAGAAACCATCTTTCACAGCATCAGAACACACCTACTTTTGCTATGTGTCTTCAAGGTTTCCCCTTTTATTGTTGGTTTTACACCTCTTGAGTCCTCTGTTTGCACACCTACCCTGAGAGTGTATATAACCGGCTGTTCCCATTTAGGTGAAGAGGTGGCTCTGTACTGTTCAAAGTACCTTCCTGAAATCATCAAGGAGCAGAAGAACTACAAAGATGGCAAACTGCAAAAGGTGAGAAGCCGTAGAAGCCGCTGCATGATCTTTACTATTTTGTCAGCTCAGATGTCTCAATGAACGGAGACCTGCTGTCTGACTGTGGCATAGTTCACATTTTTGGGATTAGTGGTAATGTCTTTTGAAAGTGCCACAATTTTCCCCGTGTCACTTAAAGTTGTAGAGAAATATATAAAAACAAATTCTCCTTTTTAATATTTAGATAACCTTAAAAAAATATGTATATTCCATACAACAGGATAAAGTTGACAGCATTAGGTTTCAGTTTGTTTCTATACTAAAAGATACATTTCACAAGGCTTTAACATTAGACCTTGCCTTTTCTGTTCTTGGCTAGTAGCAAAGAACAGCCTAATGACTTGCCATAATTATGGTTAAATCTTTTTTGATGTTTCTTGAGGAAGTGCGCATGCTTGAAAGATCATTTCCCATTCAAAAGGCAATACATTGCAAGTAAAACACACACCACTGCAGTGCACACACAGCAATTGATGAGAAGTGATCAAAACCAGGGCTACTTGCAAAGAAAATGTCAACTGTAGTTCTTCAGTCCTGACACATTCAAAACTCGCTGAACAGACTCATCGATGTAGTACCCAACGTTACACTGTCGCTTCATGTTTACTGATGCATCTCTCTGCGCGATGTTTCCAGGCTCTGGAGGAAGCCTTCTTGGTCATCGATGGCAAAATAACCACAGAGGATGTCATTAAGGAGCTGGTCCAGATCGCTGGGCGGCCCACAGAGGAGCCGCCTGTGGTCAAGGTGTCACCGGAGGACGATTGTGAGTACACTGCTGACACTGAAACTTGTGTTTGATGACTATGAGAGTGGTAAGGAACATAATAACAATAGAAATGCAGGATTGTAGAGTATTAACATCCAGCAAAATGCATTAATTTAGAATGAGCATGTGTAAAACATCCTGAAATGCATGCACCTACACTGCTAATACATGATTACTGATTGTTTCCATGTTTCTGCTCCCCTCTCAGTGGAAACGGAGGAGGCTGCTTTGCTCCATGAGGAGGCCACCATGACTATAGAGGAGCTGCTGGTACGCTATGGCCAGAACCTCAATGCTGTCAAGCATGCAGCTGCCATCAGGTATTGTAACACTTTTTATCTTTCTTATAAGGACAGTTGGCTTTAGTGATTCGGATGTTAGAAAAACTAATTGTTCTCTCGTCGTGTTTTGTTCTTAGTGCTGCTGCTAAGAAAGCAGCCAGCTCCAACCCCAACCCCGAGGCCTCGGAAAGCAAAGGTGAAGCTGGGAAAGGAAAGGAGGAGGTAGTAAATGGAGAAATGGAGGAGGAGAGCAATGGAAAAGGGAAGAAAAGCGAAGGAGCGGCAAGTGGATCGAAGCTGCGAGCATCCAGGAGATCAGGAGGCGAGGCCAGTGGTGCAGGTAACAGCTGGGATTCAGTCATATACATTTTGTATTCAAAAGATGACACAATGACATTTTTTTTTTTTTTTAATGGTGTGGGTTAGATAAATAATAGTAATAAAAATAAGCTTTAATTGTATAGGACCTTTCATACAAGAATTGCAGTCCAAAGTGCTTCACAGTAGAGAATTAAATCTCATAAAATAGTCACAGGAAATTGATGTCAGGGTTTACCTATAAAAGGCGTAGGGGAACATAATATTGAAGGGAGGATAGTTCAGATTCACATAATGGCACTCTAAGTAATGGCAGTGATGGGATGATATTGACAATAACACAAAATCAGTTGACACATTGAGAGTGCAGCAGAGAGCATCGGTTAGCGACCTAAATATTGAAATAAATCTTCTTTCATATCAGAATACCTTTATTAATCCCACGGAGGGGACATGTGCGTAGTTCCAGCAGGAAAAAGAGCCACAGACAGCTTAATGTTACATGTGTTAAATATGTGACATGCATAAAAAAAAAAGTACTAAGTTATGATATAATAAAAAGTTACATCATTTAAAAAAATACACATCCTGTAACAGTTCTTAGGATTTAGCAGCCAGGTATATATTACTCAGTTATTAACAGTATTTATATATTGCACATAGTTTGTTGGTATTTAGCAGCAAGGGGTCTGTTGCGGTGTGTGTGGGGGGGGTCAACTCAATGATAATGGGAAAAAGGTGAGCCTGCTCAAATACTGAAGTATTATCTTATAACTTACCACGTACTTATCAAATGTCCTCTCTCTCTCCGCTCCCCTCATTAACCACACGTGTCCTGGTTTCTCCTCTCCAGCAGCCGACTGTGGGTCAGGAAGCGCCAATGGGGCGGGAAAGGCCGGAAAGGCAGAAGGAGACGCAGGTCCTTCCTGCTCGTCCTCCAAGGCTGTAGCAGATTCAAAGTCCAGGTTCTTCGATGACAGCGAGGAGTCTGACGGAGAGGAGGAGGGCAGTGAGGAGGAGGTGAAGCAGACACCAGAGTTACGGTCATGTTTGGAAACCTCCCTCACTCTGAGGGTTTTAAACATGAGGAAACCATTGTATTTATATGATCTTTTCTTTTAATTAGGATTGTAGCGAAGAAGACGATGGTGACAGCAGTGAGATGGAAGAAGAGGAGGATACAGATGATGGAGAGGAAGACTCAGAAGATGAGGAGGAGGAGGAAATGTGCCTTCCTGGAATGGACGGGAAAGAGGAGGTGTGAACAAAAGAGAAACTAATCTAATGCAACTAAGAAAAATAAGTGCACCTGATACAAATACTACTTTCGCTATTTACAACACGTCTTGCTTAATGTCGATATCTGTTCTTACTTGAGTCGGAGTGATACTTAGGGTCTGGGTAGAAACCGTCTGCTCTCGTGCATAACGGGTTGATTATTGATGATATACAATCACACTATTAAAATATGGATAAACTAGTGTCCGTAGAAAACAATAACATGTAAATGTGCTCTGTTGCAAATGAATGTTATCTGATAGTGACCGAGTCCACTAAAGTGGGAACAACAATGCAGCGTTTTGGGAACGAATGTACAGAGAAATCACGTTTTCTAAAATCGAAGTTGTCTCTAACGATTAAGTTGACATTAAATCAAAAAAATATTAGGACCTCTTTCCACGTATGAGTTGTACAACTTTTTAAAGCGCCTTGACCTCCACCTTTGAAGCTTTAAAAAGTTGTCATATGCTGATGTTTGGGGAATTGGTCGTATCAAAATCACTGAATTCAAAATCACAATATCTTTGCTTGTGACTTTTAAAAGATTAGGCTTAGTTAGCAGTAGGTTTTTTTTAATTTATTTTTTATTATATATAAAATAGCTTGGCTGTAAAGCTTGGCCTCATCAGAAGCCAGGTTTGTGATTTCTGATGACTTTTTGTAAAGCTTCGGTGCTGGAACGGGAATTTGACAGAGTACTCTGATTGTATTGTATGTAGGGATGCTCCAATACTCACTCTCTGCCGATCGATCGGTGCTCTCTAAAAATGCCGATCGCATGATGTAAAATGATAACGTAAAATACATGACACTTTTCTCTGTGCGTCAAAACAAGCTCGCCAAAATGGCAGTTTAAGGTGTCAGAGAATGACAATAAAATGGCGGTATGCAACGTGTGTGAAGCAGAAATCCTGCAGCTGTGACGGACCGCTGAGCAGAGCAAAACACACACTAAGAGCTAGACCGAACACACTTAGCTATTTGATCTACCTCTGGAACTAGCTAAACTAGTTATACATATGTTTATTCTTCACTGTCGGGTCACTCATTACTGGTTCAGTGAGCTGCATGAGATACTGACAGGCTGGGAGAGAGAGAGAGAGGAAAAGAGAGCGCTTCCGCTCATTTCTCCCGTGTTATTCTCCAAAGTGAATGTAAACTTGAATAATGTACTTCATTTGAATGTAATAATTATGTTGGTTGTAGTTTGTGGAAGCGCCAGTGAATGAGCCCCATTAACTGAGTTTTAAACATCACTTTAAATGGTAGATCCCCATAGCCCACTCGATCGGATCGGTATCGGCCGATACTGATTCCGGCGATCGGAGCATCCCTAATTGTATGTATAGAGGAGTAAAGCATCATGCAGTAACATCACATCTCATGTTCATGTGTGTGCAGCCCGGCTCTGACAGCGGCACCACGGCTGTGGTGGCTCTGATCCGAGGAAAACAGCTGATCGTGGCCAACGCCGGAGACTCTCGCTGCGTGGTGTCTGAGCGCGGTGAGTCTCAACCATGCAGGGTCTAATTATTATTGATAGAAGCGCTATATGAGATATTTGTGAAAAATCTAAATGTTAATCAGTTAAACGACCAATTTGGTAATAATGTAAGAGTTCTGTGTCGCTATAGGCAAAGCTGTGGACATGTCGTACGACCACAAGCCTGAGGACGAGCTGGAGCTGACCCGCATCAAAAACGCTGGCGGGAAAGTGACCATGGATGGGCGGGTCAACGGGGGGCTGAACCTCTCCAGAGCTATTGGTATGGCCGACTGCATCTGAATTGAACACATAGCTTCTCTTAGTCAATGTTAGATTCCTTTCGTCTGTTCTGAAGTCAATTTGCAAACAAATACGTTTCTGATTCTCTGAGATGAACTTCTCCTGTAAGCAGAATGAGTTTCTATGAACCTTCTGCCCTGGACTCTGCCTCTCAGGTGATCACTTCTATAAGAGGAACAAGGCTCTGCCTCCAGACGAGCAGATGATCTCCTCCATGCCAGACGTCAAAGTCCTGACTCTTAACGGGGACCACGACTTCATGGTCATCGCCTGCGACGGCATCTGGTAATTGATTATTATTTAGGATTCATCATAAACCAAATTTGAATACACAATAATATTGTTTGTCCATTTGATCGGTTATATTCCTGCTAATAAGCCTTTCTGATGCCTGTGTGCAGGAATGTGTTGAGCAGTCAGGAGGTGGTGGACTTCATCAGTGAGAGGATCAAACCAGACCAGAGCGGCAAAGTCAAATCCCTCTCATCCATAGTGGGAGAGGTGAGAGGCTCCTCTTACACACTCAATACAAAATGACCACTTGTACATGCATTTGTCCGAGGTTCTGTTAACAGAATTATAATTACATGTCAGACATAACAAAAAATAGATTTCTGCAGTTTTTTACATCTCCAACATTTTTATTCAATTTTAACTGAGATGACACCGATGCAAATCAATAATAGTAAATGATGCATATTGCGCATTGATGACCCATCTCACATCGGTGGCACATTACATTACATTGCATTTAGCTGACGCTTTTATCCAAAGCCACTTACAATAAGTACATTCGACCAACAAGAAACAAACTTGAAGAAAACAGAATCATATAAGTACATCAGGTTTCATAGAGCTAAAACATTTCAAGTGCTACTCAACTGGCTTTAGGTAAGCCAGTCCTTTATTAGTATATAACAGAGTTCGTACGGGTGCTGGAAATCCTTGAAAATGCTTGAAATTGTACGTGGTGTTTTCAAGGTTTGAAAAGGGCTTGAATTTTTGGAATGGTGCTTGAATTTGGGATAAAGTGCTTGAAATTGTAAATGCTTTACTTCGCTTTTTAGATTAAAAGAAAATAAAGAAGTCGGAGCGCGCATAATTGCTTCGCTTCTACATAAAACAGCTCCGCTGCGGCCTTCCCGCGCTATGCGCGTGACCTACAAGTGTTTGTGTTACTGTGACCTGGGCATTCTGATGAGAGTGATAGATGACAGTGTGCCAGGAGGTTGCCGTTTCAACGAGCGTTGGCTAGCAGAAGACAAATACAAGCCATGGCTAAGACGAGGGTCAAGCCCACGAGGAGCCTCCTGCAAAGTTTGCAAAAATAACGATGCGAGAGTCTGCGCTGACGAGCCACATGAAAGGTACGCCGTAGTAGAGCATTTTAGATTAGGCTAACGTTGCATGTTACGTTTGTTTAAGCTAACGTTAGCGAGCTGAATAGCGAACTCCATGAGGGATAATAATAATTGCAGGGGACAATCATTTCAGAGGAGCGTACCTATGTTATGTGCGTTACAGTCGCCATCCTGTGGTGTTCAGAGGATGAAGCACTCACGGCATTTTGTGTTATAGTCACGAAATATAATCTATTGATTCGACACAGAGCGATTTTGAAAGCAATGTATTTCTACTGGTAGTTTGTTTCGTGCCTAAACCAAATGTGACTTGATCTATCGAAATCAGTCACATTGACCCGAAGACACATTTGTGTGTGTGTGTGTGTGTGTGTGTGTGTGTGTGTGTGTGTGTGGTGTGTGTGTGTGTGTGTGTGTGTGTGTGTGTGTGTGTGTGTGTGTGTGTGTGTGTGTGTGTGTGTGTGTGTGTGTGTGTGTGTGTGTGTGTGTGTGTGTGTGTGTGTGTGTGTGTGTGTGTGTGTGTGTGTGTGTGTGTGTGTGTGTGTGTGTGTGTGTGTGTGTGTGTGTGTGTGTGTGTGTGTGTGTGGCTTGTAATTATGCCGAAGCTTCAAAGTTGTATTTATCATCTGAATTTGCCGAAACAAGTTTAATATTCTAAAAGCCAAGACTTTGTTTATTTGAAAACGGATGAAAACAAACTGTCTTTTATATAAAATTGTAAAAGTAAAAAGTATTATACAAGTAAAACTACATTTTGCTTCAATCCCATGTAATTGTAGAATGAACACAGTCTTCCTTTGAAGATGTATAAGTCAGGTGTTTTGAGTAGTCAGCATTACCTACAAATCATTGTACACATTTGTAATTTTATTTTCCACTTGTTACCTTTGTGAGTCTATTTCTATGCAGCTCTGCGTGATTTTGTGACTACAATTCAGACTAATACGCTACCAGAGGTAGAATATGTACTCCGATGGTGTAGTGAAAGTATAAGTACTTGAGTAAAAGTAGAAGTACTCAGATCTTGTACTTGAGTAAAAGTAGAAGTACCAGAGAGTGTAGGAATACTCTGTTACAGTAAAAGTCCTGCATTCAAAATGTTCCTCAAGTAAAAGTATTATCATCAAAATATAGTGAAAGTAGCGACAGTAAAAGTAGTCGTTGTGCAGATTGGTCCATTTCAGAATAATATATATGATATGTTTTATAATGATTGATCAGTAAAGTGTTCTCAAAGCTGGTAAAGGAGCAGCTAGTTTGAATGACTTTGTATACTGCAGGGTAGCTTGTGGATTTACTCCAGGTGGAACTAAAGTCTGATTCAACACTTGATTAGATTTCACATCATTCATCCACATCTGTGAAGTAACTAAAGGTATTAAATACATGTAGTGGAGGAAAAGTACACCATGTACCTCTGACTTGTGTTTACTGCCAACCTAAAAGTACCTCAAAAATAGTAATCAATAATGTATTGAAAGTTATTTGGCTGATTGTTTTATATCGGCTCAGCCAGGTTACATGGGAGGCCCAGTCTACGTACAGGTCACTCCTTTTGAAATATTAAACTTAGTTTTCTTTTCTTTAATTGTTCATCCTCGTGTAGAATGCTATCACGAAACACATATTTGGTTGTTTATAGCATAAAGAACATCTGATTTAATGTGAGGTAGGGAAATAATCATTTGAGTATAAGTATGTGTATATAAATATGTAATTTACAACAGCTGTAAGATGCTTGAAAATGCACCTTGAAAAGTGCTTGAATTTGACTTTGGAAAAGGTGTAAGAACCCTGATACGAGTGCTTTGTTAGTCATTTCATCGCTTGGAGTCGAAAGAGATGAGTTTTCAGTCTGCACCGGAAGATGTGTAAGCTTTCTGCTGTCCTGATGTCAATGGGAAGCTCATCCCACCATTCTGCAGCCAGGATAGCAAACCCATGTGTTTTTGCTGATGGGAACTTGGGTCCCCCTCGCAGTCCTTATGACACTGATATAAACAAGCTTAAGCCAAAACTGATTGTATGTAACCTAAATGTTTAGCCTAATTAGCTAAGCATCTAAAAAATATTCTAACAACTATTGTAGACTGAATGACACGGCAGCCCCTCCTCCCAATATCAACAGTATTTGATCAGTCGCGTACATTAGAGTTTTCCCTGTAGATAGTTATTGTGCTATGTAGCTTGTAGACTAAGTAGATAACCACAACACAATTACCTTTGGAGCGTCTCTTTTCTCACGTTCATTTTAAATCCCATATGTCTTTCTAACAGCTGTTGGACCACTGTTTGGCCCCCGACACATCTGGAGACGGGACCGGATGTGACAACATGACCTGCATCATCATCACCCTCCGGCCTCACCCGGCCACCGCTCAGCCGGACGACAAGAAGAAGAGGAAGCTCGAGGACGAGAAGAACGGCAACGACAGCAAAAAGGCCAAAAGTGAATAAAGGCAGAGAGAAACGGAGCCAGAGGCAGCAGCTGGTCCCGGCTCCCCAGAGGCAAACTCTGCTCTCCAGTTGATCCCTGCCGCACAAACATCCCCCTTCAAAACAAATTTAAATGACTATACGTATGTTCAAAGATCGGCTGAACTGAGATCATCGGTATAGTTTTTTATTCTCACTTTAACGCCCTTTCAGTTATTTCTTTTTGTTGGTGTCGCTGTAAAGACTTCTTAAATTCAGAGGAGTCATACATGCTGAATAGTTCATTATTTTCCAAGTATTTGTAACTAGATGCCGAATGATCCAGTCTATAGACATCTGTGTATTTCTAAACATTAAGAGACGTCTTATCTCCTCTGCAGACATCACTGCCCTCTGTTGTGAAAATATTTCCCCACATGGCAGTTTCACAGTTTTGTTTCAGTGGAAGTTTGAGGATAGCTCTCCTAGTGGCCTGTGTATGATTGCTTTTGACATATTACAGTAAGACACACATTTTTCATTGCCGTTTTGAAATATGAAACATGACACATGCAAGCTACTTTCCCAATATGGAATCGCACAATGCTTTGTGTTGTGCCCAATTGTATCTCAAAGTGCCATTAAATCCCTTTTTTTTATAGGCACCATTTCACATCCTCAAATGAACTGAAGGGACCCGAAATGGCTTCAGATAGACGTGTAAAAGTTACGCTATTGAAAATGATTGAAAGGGGATATTATTGTCTTTTGTAGTCAATTTAAAGACTCCAGGAGCAGCGAGAGTGAGCATACTTGTCCAGTGAATGTGCCGCAGAATGTTCCCTATTTAAGTGAAGGATTCGGGGAACTAGCCCCTTCGGTTCCATAACAGCCCAATCAAAAACAACACATCCCCGTTATCTGGCCTTTATTTCCATTCCTGCTTTGTTTCTGGTTTTGATTAGATTCTGTAAATATCCACACAAATATAAGATGCCAGGGTTTCTTGAACTAGTGTACTTTTCTGTGGCCATCCAGAGACAGGTGGTGTTTGAAGCCCTTCTCCACCACATTCCCTCTCACCGTCTGTCCACTGTGTTTTAGTAAAAAAAAGTATTTCCACTCAAATGTTTGTTGTTATTTTTCTTTTTCTATTTTGATGTAACAGTTATAGGAAGTTTATTTTCTTACCAGCACACTCTGGAAACGCTGTACTGTGGAGAGGATGCACAAGGTTACTTTTGAGTGGAAATACAGTCTGAAGCTCAGAGCACCGAGACAGCGTAACTGTTCAGAATATTTCTCGTCTTTATTCGCAGAATCCTCATTTAAACCGCACCGTGTGACTATAAGTTTGTCTCTAGTGTACTTTCTTGTCACCATTCCCCGTTTTTCTGTAAATAGTTTTTTCAATACTTGTAATTGAAGAAGAAAAAAGCTTTTTCTTTGTAATTGTGAGTCAATGTGAAATTTTCGGTGCATACTCTTTTGACACCAGTATGTAAGTACATACAAATACATTTTTTTAAATAATCATAAATGTGTTCCTGTGTTTTTCTTCAATCAGGGTTTTTAGATGAGTCTTTTATTTTGATATAACATTCCTCAGTCAGACAATATTCAAGTCACCTTGAATGCAGTATCCGGTTTAAAAAGAGCTATCACTTTGATGTCAATAAATGGGTCATTCCAGAATTGGAGGACAATTTAGACACCAACATTTTTGAAAAATAAACCTTTTATTTTATAATTTGTTTAATGTATTTAGGAAAAACAGATAATAAACTATCAAAAAAAGTGATTTGCCCAGCTAGGCATCAAATGTATATTTTCCAATGAAGAATTACCCCTGTTACTCTAATTATAGTAACAGGGTTGAAAATCAATGCTAATTCAAGCTTTAACCTCAGGAATTATTGCTAGATGTAGCATGTAATGCTACTTTCAAGGCAAGGACAAACTTGGATATCTAATGCAAGAAAGATAACTTTGAAATGAATATGCTTTATTCTGATAATATCAGTAACAGGGTTGAGTGGGTCAGAGTGCCACACTCTTTTAAGACTGAAAAGATTGTAAAAATATGAAAAATAAAAGAGGACTTTTGGTCTACCCATGGCACTAGCACATGGCTTGCTGATGTCCTTTCCACTGTGTCATCTGATTTACAGTTTTTTCACTTCCTGTGCCAATCTAAAAAGGTTTGGGTAACAGGGTTGAACGCATGTTGAGGGACACACCTTCTGTGCAAAATTACTGTTATCTAAAATATGTTTATGATTTAACAAATTGATTTGACCATTACAAGAGACATATATCAATAGAATAATACCAAAAAAAGTAAATAAAATCCCTATTTTAAATGTTATATTTGACATGCAAGTTGGTCACCAAGAAGCGGGGACAAGAGAAAAATGCCATTTTAGGGGATGTTCGAGAGCTATTTGATAATTTAAATAATATTTTGAAACCACTTTTTCTACAACTTTATATACATTTTGTCTCAAGACAAGTATGTTTAACACAACAAGTGCATGTTTTAGCATTTTGGGCATGGATTATTAGATGTTTTATATGGGGGACATGAAATGTCCTCCAATTCTGGAATGACCCATGTAATGGTTACTGATCTTTATTCTCCAAATGTCTAACAATATAGTTTAAATGCTTTTTAAGGGTTTTTTGCTCTGCCTCGCATGTAAAGTTTTCTGTTTTAGACACAAGCAATGTGTTGCAGTCATAAGTAACCAAGTAGATTTACTCAAGTACTTCACTTAAAGGTAGGGTAGGTAAGAATGGAGAAACCAGCTCGAGTGCGCTGGAATTTGAAAGTACGCAGCCGAATCTGCCTCTTCCTTCAGACTTCCTTACAGAGAGCCCCTCCTCCAACACACACGAACGCGCACATGACCAATGAGGGCATTTGTGCTTACATTTGTTGCTACTTTACTAATATTCAGAGGAAAATGGTGTTCTTTTACTCCACAACATTTATTCATTACCTTTAGTTACGTTGTCGATTTGGATGTGAAATACAAGCGACACTTAAATCAGACTTTAGTTACACCTGGAGTAAATTCAAAAGCTACCCGGCAGTATACAAAGTCATACAAATTAGCTTCACCTTTACTAGCTTTGATAAAAATAATTATACTCAAACATATTTTATTCTGAAATGGGACAATCTGCACAATGACTACTTCAACTTTTGGTAATTTAAGTATTCTGATGCTAATACTTTTGTACTTTTACTTAAAACTGAGTATTCCTACACTCTGGTACTTTTACAATATCAGAGTACCTTTTTCCCCACCTATGCTGTGTTGCCTGCTGATCTGCATGGACCAACTGTCCGTGCTCTTTGCTGGACGGCGTGCACAGAGACAGTCCTGCAGATGGCAGCAGATGGAGAGGTTTGGGCCAGTGTTGTTGAGGTCTTTTATGATCTGCAGCCTGCCATGAAGGACAGAAGTGGAGATGTCTGTAGCTCACACACCTTCAGGACATACTGACCACTCACCTCATTTCTCATAAGGACAAAGTGAACATGTTATAATTTAATTCTCCAAAGAAATAGGAAAGCAAAAAAGGACAGAGTTTATTTCCCATCAGCCCAGGGGCCTCTCTGTCCTGCCCTCCCATTGGCTGCTGCTGCTCCACAGGCCTGGTGGTTGTTCTGCTCCCCGAGGATCACTGCTGTGTCAGGAACAATAGAGAGCAAGAGAGGAAACACCCTGTCCTTGGAATCTAAAAATGTCATCACACACACACACACACACACACACACACACACACACACACACAAAAGACCAGAATAGACACATTTTTACCCTTTCTTTACCAGGAAGGATGTTTTTAGTTTTTGTCTGCAGATTAAGCTTACTGTAAGTGGTTTGAGTGGACACTATGAAAGCAACGTTTTTCTAGATTGCAAAGACACTCTTGATGAAACTTCAACATCACCCTTTAAACCTTTAAAACCAAAGGCTATGGCAGAGGTGCCATTGGGAGAGTTTTCACGATGTTTTTTTGTTTGTTTTTACAGTATTTCAACAGGTCATCTGTGTTAAATCATCAGGTTCTGTACACCAGGGTTTATTATGTATTGTGAAATTATCTTTGGAGAAAATATGCTTACGTGTAGCTGGCCAAAATGTATCTTCTGAATGGACAATTGTGTTTAAGCTTATGGGAAAATCTGTTATATATGAGTGTGACCATTTTGATCTTGTATGCATAATGAATATGATGAGTAAGTGGGAAAAGCTCCTGGCATGAGAGGCTGCAAAAGAGTTGCTTTGAAGTTATTACAAAAATCCAATTAAATGTCTATAAAAGTACTTGAATATAATTTAGAAATAGTTGTACTATACGTTTAATATTTATTCTTGCCACTTTATACTTCTATTTCATTACAGTTGAAATGAACCCATTTGTATACTTAATACTTTTACCTCTGGTACATCAAGTATAGTGTGTTCGTTTTGTACTTTCAATTAGGTACAAGATCTGAGTTCTTCCCCTTCTGATAAAACTACTCCGCTTTTGGTGATCCCAAAAACAAGAAGCATGACTGAACAGCCATAGTGTTTCGATTTCTACAACAGTTTTCCTGGAATACATGATTGGTTGTTTCTCAAAGGTCCCCTGTAGGAAGCTGTTCCAGGCAGATTTTGACTGCAGTAAATATGTCTAAAAGGCTTCTACTATGGAGCTCAATGGCGTCCTTGTCCAGCTGTGTGTCGGGGGTGTGTGTCCTAAACCTGAGTGATGGCTGGGGGAGAGCCACAGGAGGCCAACTAGACCTCCAATTGTACATGTTTAACTATATGTGTGTGTGTGTGTGTGTGTGTGTGTGTGTGTGTGTGTGTGTGTGTGTGTGTGTGTGTGTGTGTGTGTGTGTGTGTGTGTGTGTGTGTGTGTGTGTGTGTGTGTGTGTGTGTGTGTGTGTGTGTGTGTCGAGGTCGAGGCAGCAGGTGTATATATATAGAAAAGTAGACCACAATAGCAGATTGTAGTCGGACACAGTAAGTATTCATCAAGATCTTTTTCGATCGCCCTCTCGCTCCTAAAACTATATTGGCCTCGTTGCTTTCTCATTGCATAGAGTTCAGCAGCAATGTCCCAAAACACACACACACACACACACACACACACACACACACACACACACACACACACACACACACACACACACACACATTCCAGCGGTCACTGTGCCATTTAAAACTTGCTGTGACCAAAAGTAGTTAACTGTAAGGTTTCTTTCAGAGTCACACACACCTCAAATCTTTATTGTTGGGACTTTAGTAGTTTTCTTTAACACGATATATTATAATACATTATCATTATATTAACATGTTATTATATTAATACATTGATCTTATATAAGGTGTACTTAGTGTCACAATTAGCATTTTACCCAAAGAGTATATGGAGAAAGACAAAACACTTAATGCTTTTTAAAAAAAATCAATCACACATACACAATAGGAAGATGTCAAAGTCAGCTGTTCTGTTGCTGACAGGATGTAGCAGCATGTCAGATCCAGACTCATCTCTGTGTGTGTGTGTGTGTGTGTGTGTGTGTGTGTGTGTGTGTGTGTGTGTGTGTGTGTGTGTGTGTGTGTGTGTGTGTGTGTGTGTGTGTGTGTGTGTGTGTGTCGTCAGCATCAAGCTAAGCATGTTGGATGGAATAACAGGAAAACCCCCCACATCCTTTTTTCTCCCCCTCTCTTTCCTTTTACATCTCTTGTGCCGCCTCCTCCCATTTTTCTTTTCCACCAACTGTCACTTCCTGTCACCCCTTCACTCCACTTCCTCTCTTCTTCCCTCATCTGTTTTCAGTAAATTATACATCCTCTTTGTCTTCCAATATTTCCAATGCTTTCCTTTCCATTTCCTTCTTATCTGATATCGTGGAATGCGGTCTTCTGTGGAAGACTGTCATCAGATAAGCACACGGACACCCTGTATTTGTCCTGTCTAAAGCTCTTATTAACCACTGTTGTGCTTACACAAATACAGGATTTATCTATAAAAAAAGGCATTAAAACCAAAACATAAATAAAAAATAAAGAGAATCATGCTGCAACAACCAATCAAAAGAAGAGCAGTATTACTAACACTTGAGACACTTACAAAAAAATAATGGCTGAAAACATCCTTAACATGAGAGAGATCATCTGTCAAAGTCCATAAATACGAATATTTGGTCAAAAATATCCAGGTTCATCAGGGCAGCACATTCAGAAACCCACCTGCACAAACAGATTCACACATATCTGGACATCTGTATGTACTGTAGGCACACACACACGAACACACACACCCACACACGGGTGCGGTCTAAGATAAGAGAGAAGTGGAAAGAAACTGCTATCTGATCACTGAACATTTCCTCACTTTCTCATTACTTTGCAAGTAAATAGCCATTTGGAAAAAACTGATCATAGCAATGAACAGCGGATAAATGGACAATGATTCTGAAAACAAAAACTCTTTATCCTGTAGCGCAATATCTTTAATGTTTTCAGGAAA